ACTTCGTGCGGCAACATGAAATGGCCGTCGCAAATATGCGCATATAACAAACTACCCAATGCCCGCACCCGTGCCACCCGCCCACCCAGCATATTAACCTTGCAACAGCTCCTCCTCATCATCCTCGACAACATCATCATCATCATCATCATCAAGACTGCGACGGGTACGGCTACGGAGACTGTTTTCGTATTTAGGCTAGTTTCATATGGAAACTACAAAACGAAAAAAAAAAAAAAACAAAAACAAAAGCAAATGCGGAAAAAACAAACCCTTTGCTTTCCCACAACGTCATGTGCCGCTATAAGCAAATAACTGCGTACCCAATTCCCCCACGCCCGCCCCCTGTCCACACGCTGGCTTTCTTATTGTTTGTTGTGGGTGTACAGCCAAGTTTTCACCCAGAGCCGATGCCAACAACCAGCATGGGAAACATCGGCAGCAACAGCAACAACAACAACAACAACAACAACGACCAGCAATCGTCGCATATATCAGCGCCGTCATCTTGAGCGCTACGCCCTCGCCCAGAGACCGGAGACCAGGCACCAGGCACCATGCAGCAAGCATGGAGACCATCTCTGCGACTCGGCGTCTGCGAGACCCGTCTTCAATTCAATTCATTTTTATTATGATGAGCAGCCGCCATTCGCTATTCGCCATCGCCAGTCCCAAGTTGAACTCCGGTCTCGGTCTCGAAAACTCGGAGCTGGTTTTTATTATGTTGCTCCAATGTGGCTGTTGCTGTTGCTGTTGCTTCTTTTACTTTTTTCCACTTCTTTCTCTGCTTCTTGTGCGCTCTTTCTTTATGTTTATAAAGTTTCTTCTTCCTCTTTGTGCTTTGTATATTTAAATTGCTTTCGAGATCGGCGGCTTAGAGCCCAACGACGAAGCCGCCTCTGAGCTCTGAGCTCTGAGCTCACAGCTCGGAGCTGGCCCGCCGCTTGGCTTTGTCGAAAGCTGAAACTTGGGTTTTTTCAGTCGCTGTTTTTGTCGTTGCGCTGTTGTTGTTGTATTTGTTGCGTTTCGTTTCGTATTTGCTGCTATCGCACGTTGTTTCAGCTGAAGAATTCAAAGTGGCCACAACACACAGCGCCGGAGACACAGAGTTTCAGCCAGGCCCAGACCCCTGAACGTTCATTCGAGCCAGCGACCGACTTTAATGCTGAAGTCGACTTTTGAGCGAGGCCGGCACAGTGGAGCAAAAGAGAATACATTTTGATTTGCTTAAAGTTGGCTCTAGGTCTACTGTGTTTTTTTCATCACTATTCAATTATTGTTATTGCTTAATTCAGTCTGGCATATACATATTATAATGATTTAATTTGAACTGTTAACTGCTTTTGTTCTAGCTAGTCTATACAGCGACTTGTAACATCTATTTGGGCTTGCTTTAACTTTTTGAATAGAGTGAGAGAGTAAATAGAGTGTATTAACTTAAATCTAAAAAAAATTACTTATTTTTCGTCTGCTTTTTTGATTTAATTACATATTCTCTAATAATGCATTTAAGTTTTAATTTTAACTAAACCCTAACATCTATTTGGGAATTCGCTTGGGTTAAAACTCTTTATAGACTTTTAGTTTCTAAATAGATTTTTCTATCAAACTATAAGCTAACATAAATTGCACATTTTTTGTGTGCTTGCGGGCCACTGTGCAGCGCAGCGGACGTCGCTACCTTTTAACTGTTGGCCTGGCTCTGCGACTCTGGGGCTCTTGGCTTGGCTTTGGCTTTCGGGCAAACAGTTCGTGTTTTTGCCGCTGCCGTTATTGTTGTTGCTGCTGTTATTGTTGTTGTTTTTGACGATGACTGGCTCTCAGCTTGGTTGGACGGTCGTTCGGTCGGTTGTCGTTCATTTGGTTCGTTTGGTTGGCTCATAACCTGAAACTTGAATATTGTGGAATTTGAAGGTAGCGACGGACAGCGACAACGATGATGTTGCTGTTGTTGCTGTTACTGCTGCTGCTGTTGTTATTGTTGTTGTTGTTTGTGTTGTCGTTGTTGCTGCAGCAGCAGTAGTAACAACTGCAGCGCTGCGTGCGAGCTTTCGAGTCAGCCTCAGCCGTCAATTTGGAGCCAGTTGCCGCCGTCGTCGTCGTCGCCGTCGCCGTCGCCATCGTCGCCAGTGCCAGCTGAAACGAGTTGCTGGCGAAGCGTAAAAAAAGCAACGAACGCTTGACGGGGCTGCCTGACTGCCGGACGGACTGGCTTTTGTGAGTGCCCCGTTGTTGTTGCTTTTGCTGCGGCTGCTTGGCACTGGCTGCCGGGCTGCCGGGCTGACTGACTGGCTGGTTGGCTGACTGATGTTGGTGTGGCAATAAAACTCAGCTGCCAGCAGTCGCAGTTGCAATCTCAGTGAACGCAGCTCAAATCATGTTGCTGCTCTCCTAGCAGCTCAGAAGATGACTTTCGGCTGTTGTTTGTTGGCCAGCGTTGCTTTAGCTTTTCTCGTTGTTGTTGTTGTTTTGTGTGGCTTATAATGATAGCAACAATTTTTAACTCACAGCAAAGCGGCAACAACATTTCTCCGCACGCTGTTGTAACAACTTTTTTGAAGGCAAATTAGCGTAGAAAGTTATTTTCTGTTGTTTTTTTGGGATTTTGATTTTGAATTTGATTTCCGTTTGCAAGCTTTGCAGCTGAGCTTTTAATGTGTGAAGCTTTTGAAAACCCCACAAATCAGCCCGCACATGCACACGGCGTATGCGCAATGCGCTTGTTAAAAGCATTCCACATACGCCGTGTGGCCAGCAGCAGTCGCAAACAATGTGAGCCATGAGCAACGAGCGGTGAATTCAAGCGATGAAGATAAGCACAGCCATGACTCACAGATACGAACACACGCATACACACACGCATACAGCTGACAAAGAACGAACAACGAACAACGAACAGCGAACAGCGAACAACGCAGCGATGACAAAGATTATGAGGAACTGCGATCAGCTCAGCAATTTTGAGTTCGCCTTAAGATGCGCCACAGTTGACGCAAGATGTTCAACGCAGTTAGTCACAAGCGTCGAGTCTGGAGTCTAGACCGCCAGCCCCTATGCCGTAAAGTGGACGAAATACAGCTGCAGACAACGAGGGATGAAAAATGCGATGATGATGCGATGACGCTGAGAACCAGGCAAATGCCAAGACCGAGCGAATGTACCGAACCGGGCGGGCACCAGGCAGACGGCGGGCAAACAAGCAGACGGCGGGCAACCGGGGCTGGAAAAAAGGGCAAGGAAAATGTGAAACACATGCGACTGCGACTGCTACGACGACAACAACGACGACGACGACCTCGATGACGATAACAAAAAAAAAAACAAAAAGAACTGCAAACGAAAATGAAACGAAACGAAAACTCACCCCGATGCGTTCTGCTGCTGCCCCGACCCATGGCTTAGGCTCAGTCTCTGGTTCTGGCTCTGGCTCTGGCCCTGGCTCATATTCCCCCTCTGAATGCAGAAATATGCGAGCATATGGCAACCCTTATAAGCATGACAAAGGCCCGTCCGTAGCACGAAGCGTTCACACATCTGTGATGCTCGCGACTTCATGTGTACCGGGGCTGACAGAGTTGTTGCCTGGAGTATTGTAACGGGGATTGTATTAATAAATCTAGAGGGTGGCAACACTGCCCGATTAGAGCTGGGCATTGTGATCAGTATAGCAATGTGAGGAATCTACTATCAATATTAGATGGGAATCTATTGTTAAGTAAAGATCAGCTTAGGTAAAACTTTAATCAATATAACTACTAAGTAGATTAAAATAAAAACTGGTCCTTAAAATTGCAAATATATATTTGTTTGGAATTTAGAATCATGGGTACAGCTTTTTTATTGGATATTAAGCTCCTCACACAACAAATACCCCATATGAAAAGTACCCATATAATTTTTCAAATGCTGTCTGAATGTTTCCATTGATCCTAAAAGCTCTGTTTTGATATTTTACGTAAATACGAAATGAATTGAATTGGAACGTTTGGCATTTGCTGTGGCATTGTTGTTCATTGTTGATTTCCATGCCATGTATTCCAAAATCAAGAAAACGCGGCCCCCAAAAATAGTTTTGAGAAACTCACGCAAAAGGCGGAAGTGATGAACGCAATGCGAAGACGACGCAGCCAAAAGGCGAAGACATTGAAGCCAGCAGCCCCAGTGGCAGTGGCTGGCAGTCCCACGCTCGTGCCTCCTCTGACTCTGCAGCGTTCCCCTTGCTCCTGTCTCTGCTGTTACGGCTGCTGCCGCCGCTTGCCCGTGTTTTATTTTAAGAAGATTTCGAGCAGCAATGCTGATGAGCAATGCCAGCCAGTTCGAGGCGAGGGTGGCTGCCTGCCCGCCTGCCTGCCAAGCAGCCAGCTTGCCTGACTGACTGCGCTGTTCTCTCCATTTTCATTATGCTGCAGCGAGGGTGGTGGTGGTGGTGCTGCTGCTGCTCCTGGTGGTGGTGATGGTGGTGTTGTTGGCAGCGATGAGCTCGGCTGGGTTTGTTGGCTCTGTGTGGGGTGTGGGTTGTTCTTGTGTGTCGTTCGGCTGCCGCCTGACTTCCATTTTCTTGATAAGTTTTTGTGCCCTTTCTCTTTGTCCTGGGCCCGGCACGTAGACAGGCGCTTGACATTGGTTGGGTGGCTTGGGTGGCTTACTCATTGGCTTTTGCTCCTTTGTGCATTGCTTCACAATTTATGAGACAACATTCAGATGCTTGTTATACGCTGTGCTTTGCTTGTAATTGGGTATATTGAACTGTAGATAAGGCAATAATATGTACATGGAAAATTCGATTGAATAAAAGCTATATTCTCATTATTATAATATTAGTGAGTTATAGTATTAGGGAGCTTTGAAAAACCGCTATGCAGCAGATAACTTGAAGCTTTTAAGGCTCTAGAATGTGGGTACAGGGTATTTCTTAGTCAAACATTAACATCTATTACAAGTTAACCGTTTTTGGCGGCAAATTTTAATCGAGAGTATTTCACTTTTCGTTCTGCTTACAGGTTAATTCAGCAATGGGTCTTCAAGCAACAGCCGCTACCAAGCGGAAGCATGAGCTGACCTTTGACAGCAAGGATGCTAACACCACCTACACGGGCAACTGTGCGCCGCCGCCGGTAAAGGCCAACAAATGGGCTATCAACAACAACAACTACCTGGAATCGCTGGAGGAACAACAACAGCCGCAGCAACAGCAAAAAACGAGCTCGGAACAGCTAACCGAATCCAACAACAACAACGTGGAGCCCGTGAAGCCAGTGCATAGTATTATTAGCAACGGTGATGAAGTTACTAACAGCAGCACCAGCAGCATCAAGAGTCCCGCGGAGGTGCCGCTGCCGCCCACGGCGAGCGCTGCAATACCCGAGGACAGCATTGCCAAGTTGGAGGTGGTGGCCGCGGTGCCCTGCGAGCCCTGGTCAACAGCTGCGTCGCCCGTGGCGGCGGCCAGCAGCGAGCCCGTAGATTGCATCTCAAAGCTGCAGGCGGTGGCCGTGCCCAGTGATCCCTGGGGCAGCATTGCCACGCGCTCCACGCTAGCCACCACGCTGCTGAGTCCGGACGAACTGGATGACGATGACGATGACTTTGAGGATGACTACGAGGAGGAGGAGAGCATTATACCCACCTACTGTCCCATGCGCTATCATCCCTTTGCCCAGCAACAACAGCAGCAGCAGCAGCAGCAACAGCAGCAGCAACAACAGCAACACCAGCATCAGCAGCACCAGCAACAGGCTGCAGCGGCTGCGGCCGCGGCAGCGCAGCAACAGCGCAGCTATCCTCCCGGCTATGGCAGCCGACCCGCCTACTACTCGGAGCCGTTTCCGCAGCAGAATTGTTCACGCACCGGCAGCCCGCAGCACATGGCGCCGCGAGGATTTGCACCGCCCCAATGGACCACAACAGGCGCAGCGAATGGCGCCGGCACGGCTGGAGCGGCGGGTGGCGCAGCGGCCACGCCCAGCGGTGCCCAGCAGCAGCAGCAATTCTATGAGAACGGTGGCGGAGTCATCTATGCACAGCCAGCGCCACAGCAGACCATACGCTGTGCTGAGAATGGCAAATCCTATCTGGACCTGGGCTGCAGCAGTGCGGCAACAACTACACCAGCCAGCACCCTGCCCAGCAGCAATGGCAACACCGCACCAGCACCCTCTTCCTTTGTGGCCGGCGGATTGCCGCTGCCGATGCCGTTGCCCCTGCCGCTGCACGGGCTGCCGCTGAAGCGCTGCTGCGACGGACGCGGTGGCTGGTGCAGCGCCAACCGCAGCTGCTACAAGGACACGCGCCTGAAGATACGCAACCTGTCCATGTTCAAGCTGTCGCGCTTTCGCCAGGTGTCAGAGCAGTCGCTCTACCGCTCGGTGCTTATCTGCAATACACTGAAGCGCATCGATCGTGAGATCGAGACGGAGGCCAAGGAGCTGCACCAGGCGGCGCAGCAGCATCATCAGCAGGCAGCTGCCGCGGCAGCTGCGGCCGCCGCTCAAGCGGCACAGTATCATCCAGCCTATCAACAGCAGCAGCAGCAGCAGCAGCAGCAGCAACAACAGCAGCAGCAATCCCCGCCAGCGCCTTTGCATCATGCGCAGCAGGACTATGCGCCTGTGCTGAATTGCGCCCGGCTGGCCAACATGGATCATTACCAGCAGCTGGCGCAGGCCCCTAGCTTCCAGCCCCAAGCGCCGCTCGGTTATCACGAGCGTCTGGAGGCGCCGCCGCCACCATACAGAACCGCAGCCGCTGCTGCACCCGGCGGATTCCAAGCACAGCCCGCACATGTCGCTGCCGCCTCGGCAACCAGCAATTGTGATACGTCCTGCAGCACCACGCTGCATCCATATGATCACTACCCCTTCCGGGAGTCGCAATCGGGACGTGCCACGCCCTTCCCCACTTGTCAGACGACAACAACGTCGGCAGCGGCGGTAGCTGCTAATCCGCCTGTAGCTGCTAATGCAGTCAGCAGCGCGAGCGTAATCTCCGTCAGCACCAGCTCCAGCACTATCAGCACAGCCGCTGCGGCCCCCGCAGCACCTGTCCAGACAGCAAGCTGTAGCAGCTCGAACTCCACCAGCACTAGCAGCAGCAACAATGTAAGCTCCGCGTCGAGCGCGGTCAGTGCCTGCGATTCGAGTGACTCAGGCTATGCGGATGACGATTCGACCCGCTCCATCAACTGGAGCTCGGTGCTCAGTCTCAGCTCACAGTCGGCGTTGGATCCGCTCAACAACAACGATCTGTTCAACATTCTGCCTGCCGCCACCACGCCCACAGCGGTGCCCGTGTGCATAGCGAGCAGCAGTACCACCTCTGGCTCCACCCTGGCCTTCAGCGGCAGTTTCACCACGGTGCAGGCGAGCGCCAGTCAAAGCAGCAGCAGCAACAACAACAACAACTCCTCATCCTCCACGACGGCTACCTTCACCACATTGTCAACCATATCGTCGGCGACGCACTCTCTGACCTCTTCCTACGTGAGCAGCATCAGCTCCAATGTGTCAGCGGGCGCCAATACGTGGGAGTATGGTTTCCTGGACATGGAGTTCGGGCTGGGCTCGGAGTTCACCGAGCTGGTGCCCAGCTGCAAGCTTAGCTCCGACGAGCTCTTTAAAAGTGGCCTCAGCGGACCCGTCGCCAGCGCCAACGAGCTGGAACAGCCCGCACACATCATGGTCGGCAGTTAGTATCAGTTGTAGTTCGATTGTCGCGGAGACGGTGGCAGCTGTGGCAGCCGCCGGGCGTAGCGTGCGGGTCACGCCCGTCCAGGTGGCGCCACAGCCCAATTCCAAGCAGTATTCAATGTGTAATTGTTGTAGCAAAGAAATAATTGAATCAAACACTGTAAACATAATTTCGAATTATGCTCAGGTTGTGAATGTGCATGTTATCTCCCCCTTCCCCCAACCCCTTCACAGTCATCCTACTGAAGCAGACCCCCAACACAAAAACCCTTTAAACCAAAACCCGCTAAACAAGCAAAGCCAGGGGCGCCACACGATAATTGCAATTGTATTGAAAATAAAAACTAAGAGAAGAAAATGGTATGACAAATGAAAACTATTAGCAAATTTGTTAAGTGTAAATATTGTAAAATTTCAAATGTCTAATGTAATGAAGAACAACTTCTAGAACCTAAGCTTAAGAGCAAAAAACAGAATTATTATATAGTATATATATGATAAATGTATCTATATTAGCGCGTATGACATGTAACTTTAGCTTTGTTAGTTGCAATTGTTGCAGTTTTTCGATTACAGCAAAACGTTTCACACACACAAACAGAAAGAAGTTGGACAAAGATCAATTATTGCAGAAAAACACACACAACAATTATTTGGTAGACAACAACAACAAGCAAAATCGAAAAACGTTTACTATATTGTAGCCATAAGTATTATTATTTATATACAATGGAAAACAAAACAAATGGATACGTGAGAGAACATCTTAAAACAAAGTTTTACAAAAAACAAAAAATTTAAAACAAATTTGAGAAAAAAAATACAAGCAAATATAAAGAATTTGTTAAAAAAAAATACAAACTGCATATTTAATGGTTTCTGTCCGGGCTTTCAGCGGAGTTGCAATGGCTGCATTGAGGATTATAATGCTAGTTGAATGGACTGAGTATTTGAATTAATATATTCATATCTCTCCAGGAGTTTTAAGTAGTAGATTTCTAATTGGGTTGCTGTCACAACTAAATGCTTTGGTTGATAATGTATATTTCTCCCTTAGCGCCATCTACGACGCACATAGCATTGGTTGCTGTGAAAACTAACAACGTTGGTTCATGTCTCTGCTTATTTGTTTGCGATAACTTTGCGCCACCTGTCAACGTTATTTGGGTTGCTGTCAAAACTAAATGTTGGATAGCTGGAAAATTTGACCGTTCTTAAGCGCCATCTATTTTATACTTATTCCGAATAATTGACCAAGCTTAAAAATTGCACAAATAGATGATGGTGGGGAAATTGGCTGAACGAAACCGTAGAGTGCTCTGGTCTTAACATAATGTTAATTAACATAATCAGAATCAGCTGTTTTATGATGTTAAGCTCAAAGTGTAATTTTCAGAAAAAGAGTTGGCATTCTTCAAAACATTTCGGCTGCGTTGGCAGCTTGGTCACCTGTTGAACACCTGTTATTAGTTTGTCTTCTTCTTTGGTCGCGTGCGGTTGTGTCGCGGCCGTCGATTTAAATTGCGTCGGCGGTAATGTTTATAATATCATTTCATCAAGCAGCGCTCGCGTATGTGTGTTTGTGTTGATGTTCCTCCGCGCGTTGTTTATGTGTGTTTCGAAATGCCGCCAAGTGCAATTTACATCTAATGAGTATTAAGAACAAATTGTTAAATTCGTGTTACAAAAAAAGTAAAGTGCCAGAGCAAAATAAAATAAAAAATTGAATAGAAAAAGAAGTTAGCAAGTGGAAGAATTCTACCGCGACAGCAGCAGCGGCAGCAGCATCGCAGCAGACGGTGGTGTAGGCTGTAAAATTAGTTGTCTGTCTGGTTTTTGTTTGTGCATGAGGCTGCGTACCCGTTTGCCTGTGTTGGTGTGAGTGTTGTGTGTGTGTGTGTGTGTGTACATGTGGGTTGTGTGAAGCAACAATTTAATTGCGAACTAAAACAGTTCAATTACACGCAAATACAAATATGTGATTTAATTAAAATTGCATTTGCGCTTGGGGCAATATCTAAATATTTCAGTTTCCAATGTAATTTGAATCAAATAAACAAATAGATACGTACTCAATTACACACACATACACTCATATACATACATACATATATTGGCGATCGCCGCACAAGCGACAATTACAACAAACGCGCAGCATGTGGACTAAAGGGGAGTGCTTAGATGTGGGGGCAGACAAAGAAGCATAATGGCGTAATCGTAATCTTTTTGCCCTCTTTTTAATTATTCAATTAAAAGCGCAAATTGCAGGCCACAAATTCAATTTAGCCGCTAGTTGCCGATGTGCGACTGCCGACGGCGATGTTGACATTGAGGTAGCAGAGGCCAACGCGTCGCTGCCCGCTGCCCGCTGCTTGCTGTAATACGTGCGTCGCGTGTCTTTTTGGTTGTTGTTTTGAGCTTCGACGCGAAATGTCATTTATCAAATATTTTTTATTTATGTATTTACATACATATATGTATATTTTATGTTATTAATTTACCAAAAAAAAAAATGCATTTTAAAACCGGTTCTTGAACGTGCATAAATGCGAAATTAAAATATAAATGATTTAATTGTTGAAATATTTGTGGTGTGCATGTGACTGTGCTTGTGCATGTGTGCGTTTGCCCTTCAGTCAAAGTAACGGCAGTTTATTGCAGCGAAAGAAACAGCTAAACGAATATAGGGAGAGGCGCAGAGACAGCAAACGACTGCCGTCAGCTTTTTGCTCAGCCAAAAACAACAACAACAATCGACGCCGGCATTGGCCCAACAGCAACAGCAACAAAGCAAACCGAAAGAAAAACAACAAAAAAGCAAGAGCACCGCGGCGGCCACATTCCAAGCGACAGCGTGCGGCCCCCAAAGCTCAGGTCAGCCGACCAGCGGGCTCTCTTGCTCTCTTGCTCGCACAACAGCTGCAGCAGCATCGGCATCGGCATCAGCATCAGCATCAGCATCAGCATCAGCTTCGGCCTCAGTAGTGGGTAAGTCAACTACATCAACGTCAATTTTCTGGTGCTGGTGCCACGTCTTTTTCTTTTGAGTTATTTGCACCACCCACCACACCACCCTCCTTCAGTTTGGCCCCTTTTGAGTTATTGTTTCTCTTGTGCTGTTACGCCTGCCGTCGGCCCATGTAACGAGATTTTTGCGTAGAAATTACATATTGTTTCATTTTCACATCTTTCCCATTTATTTGGTTTTGTTTCTTTTTTTGTAATACCCTGTACGAATTTAATATGTGTAAAAAGGATACAATGTTTGTGTGCAAAAGTATGTGATTCTCGGAAATAGGCATCTCATCCAACGCGTCGATCCCACAGAATAAAATAGCCTCAGCTTCTCACATAGTATACACCTACCTTAAAAATTGTTCCACCTACAAATACAGAAATTATCTTTTAAAAAATATATAGTCCTTTGGTACGGGATCCACAAGAAAACTTAACTGCATGTTTTTATCATTCCTCAACATTTTACAAAATTGATGCCTTCAACACAACGATACCTTATTCAAGAATAAATGTTGCACATTGTTAGGCTCAGAACAGGGTATCTCTAGGTTGTTCACTTTTGACTTGACTATTCTTGCTTTTTTCGTTTTGTTGTTAATGGGGACTTCTTCCCTTACTTCCCTCCATAGCACAACAGGGTGTCGCCAGCTGATCATCAAAGCAAGCGCAAAAAGAAAAAAAATATCCCAGCCAACTGAGTTAATTATGTTAATTAAGAATCGGTATTGGCCCTAATGTAATGTACATCGAGTACTTAGAGAATGCAGAGAAGTGGGCTTTGGGGTTATGGGAATTAGGGAAACGTGAATGGATATCAAATTTGTAGGTTGCCAAGACAGTTCGCACACGTGGTGCAAGCGGGATTCGAAGATGGCAATTGCTAATTGCCTATTTTCTAGGTCGGTTAGTAGAGTTAATCATTAGACATATACTAAGCATATTCTTACTAAATTGATTGTGTGATATTATATTTTATAAAAGGAGAATGTAAGGATAACCTTGGCCAAGGGTTTTTGCGAAAATGTGACCTCGAAAACAAAATGTCGACTGACGACTGCTCCTATAGTACTACATAATATAGTAGTGCGATATTAATTAGATTTGACTCATATGTAACCAGCCTAGTTTTACTGTCCGAGTCTGGTAAAAATATCGTCGACCGACGGCTTGATCCGGCCGGTTGCGACTCATGTACTGCCCGCAACGGAAAGATGGACATATGCAAAGTTCCAAGATATTTATTTTACAATTGAAAGACTAGTTCGCATAGAACCGGACAGATGTACAGACGAGGTCGAGGATGTTTCCTTCTCCCTGCAAGAATAGAACATTGAACATTAATAAAGTTGCATTTTGGTCAAATTTTCTATTATATTCTTGGAATTGCTCATTGTCAAGAGTCAGCTGCATTAGCCGGAGTGATTTTATTTCTTATAATTTTATTGCTACATATAATAATCTCTTTGCACAGTTTTATACCATATACATGTATATATCGTCAACTATTAAACATTCGGCACCAGAAATTGATCAATTACCATTTCACTTTATTTTCCTGAGTGTTTCAGATTTATTACTTAAGCTTGCGATTGTTAAGTGTGAAATCACTTCAAAATTGATCAAGGCCTTTTCATTTTCATTGTCAATTCATATACGCAGCTAATTAATTTAAATGGCCAATAAAGAAATCAAAAAAGGCAGAGCGTGAGAGAGGGAGAGTGTTCGATCTATGGCATTGAACTTGCTCACTCTGTTAACCTTTCAATCATTTCGTAAGCTTATTGTGGGCATAATGATGAGCATGGGATGTTTTCAAATTGAATGAAAACATTTAATTGTGTGAAATAATTGATGTTTGTAAAAATCTATGGAAGGGTCGATTCAATAGAAAATTGGCTGCCTCAAGATTAAGAATAGGATAAATCGAAATGAAATTTAATTCTTATATGAGACTGACTGTTTTCCGATTTCCTATGACCAGATACCAAATTAAAAGTAAATTCTACAAAAACTTTTTAAATATATTTGGTAAAGCTGATGTTAATTTAGAAAACTGCAGAAATATCTACTTTTTTTCCATCCTGTTTGTTGTACGTAGCTTGCAAATGGTTTCAGCATGTATTGGCCAGGTCGGAGTTAGGCGTTGCCCCTTACAATTGCAGCGTTAACTTAGTTGAGGACATGTGCAGAAAAATTCTCCACATAGTTTGTTTCTTCAGCGCCTGTATAAGATCCCTTAATTTAAGGTAACGTAACGATTCTAATTACACTTAGAAATTGTTTTTAAATGTTTTATTTTATGTGCTATTACAAGATATTTATACTCGCCCACCTTACACAGTTGTCTGATCAATAAATCCAGATGCAAAATTCCAACACATCTTTTTTCATAAAATTTATTGCAAAACTACAATAGATTTATACCTCCGTTCCTTACCCCAATACCACGTCTTGTGGCCCAGCTGGGCAGCTCGTTCACTGGAGAATTTCGTAATTTTCAAAATCACAACAAACAATGGGAAAAATGCGAGCGGCGAGAAATAGAAAAAAAAAAAACAAGAAAAAAACAAAACAACAAACGACGCGACGCGACGTCGGCGGCTTTTGGGGAGCCGCCTTCTTAACAATAGAAAATCTCCAAAAGCCGTCGACGGAACTGCGTCCAACTGGCGTGTTGCACAGTTGATGTTGTTTGCCTCGTTGTTGTTGTTGTTATTGTTGTTGTTGTTGCTGCTGCCAGCCGGAAGATATTTTAGACTAGTTTGCAGTGAGGCAAGCTTATATACATGTAAGC